TCTTTTGTTTTATTTTTTATTTTCAATTTGTCGACAAAAAAAAAACAACGAAAAAGTTTGAACAGGGTTGCCGAGGAGAAGCAAAAGTTAAAAAACGTCATCAAGTGATGTGCTTGACCGAACCCCTGCCAATATAGACAATACAATACAAAACCGTTCAAATAACATGAAATGGAACACATTTAAATAGAACCAACACAGATCGTCATACAAGGAAAATTAAACCAGTATCTGAGCAGTAAAAATTGAAAACAATTTAAAAAATACACACAAAAACATAATTATTATAATCTTGTACATTCGTCGAAAATTAAATAAAAGTATTGATTTAATAAGAATAAAATATATTCAATATTATTATTCAAAATTTAAAAAAAAAATTAAAATTATCATATTATTATGAATATTTATGTACAATCGTCATTTTAAAAAACGGTATCACAAATCGTCATTAAAATATAAATTGCAATGACTTTCGTTGAATGACTACTCCGTCATATAAAAGAATAGTTTTCCTAATATCAAATATTTTGTGATTCATTATAATTATTAGGCCTTGTCAGTGTGTGCAATGAGTGATTTAAAACTGTAGATTCACTTTATTTGGTCATTTCGAAAATTAATTTTAGTCTCAATTGCTAAAAAATGTTATGAAAACAAAGTAAGATGAACGACATTGATAATTACGATTGTGTTTCTGTTAATTTGCATTTGCACTCTCAACAATAAGAAATGCTTTGACCAATCAGGAAGCTTCCAAATAATGTAAGCCTAAATTATTCATTATAGACTTGGTAATAATGACGATGTTGTTGTTGTTAATGATGATGATATATTTAATATTTTCTAATTGTTAAACTAATTAATAAATTTCCCTTACATTATAAGTTTTGGCTGCGAAATTGGTTTACCAAATTGAGAATATTTAATAAATTTATGATACCAGATGAATTCTTTATAATGATCATAATTCAATTCAATTCATTGCTTTAGTATGCCATGAAGGATCGTTATTCGCTAACAGACATTACAATACAATACAATACAAATTTCAATATTGTACATATATGTACATTATTGCTGTCTATAAAGGAGAGTTCATATTGGTCTATGGAAGGGGATATTGTGGAAAAGGGTCATTAACAGGGAGCGTGCAAGAATAAAGGAATATAGAAGGAATGATGTTTGAAAAGTGGGAGGTACGACATGGATAGGGAGGAATAATAATATGAAGGTAAAAGGAATGATGATAATACAAGTCGTATATTAGGCCTAGCGCATAATATGCCTACAATCAAGTTGCCTCGATGCGCTTTACCATGAACAAAAGGAAAAATAACTATGAAATTCCTTATGCCACAAGAAAAACTAACAGAGAAAAGGACAAAAAGGCAGAATCATTTCCACTGCTCTGTTCTCCAGCACTCTGAAGTTTAAATGTTGTCCGGTGAGGCTTATTTATTTATTATAAAATCTGAAAAAGGTTCTTCACCAATGATTGAAAGTTTTGCAGGGTATTTTTTTTGTCAGGTTCTAAGGTCAGATAATCCAAAGAACACGTCACCAAAAATGCTTGGGTTCGAAATTCGTTCTAGCCAAAAATACCTGAGCGGATGACTAACATACCCAGTTAATCCCACTTGGAACCTTCCCATCAATTTAGCAATTGTTCTCGCAAATGGCATCCGTCTGCCGGCGTACCTGGCGGTGTATACCTGTTCCAAACTCGATCAATTTGCAGCCTCAAATCAATTTCCATCACTCCCACCTGGGCTGATTATTGCCTGATAATGCTTTGTACGAGCTGATTAATTGGGATAGCAGACGGGATAATTACTGTGGCGCTGCCAGTAGCGTTTGAAGTGTCCCGACTCACTGGAAGTTATTGGGACATTTGCGCGATTCATTATGCTGTATACGAAGGATAGCTGTGCCCCAAGGACAGACTAATTCTTTTCAAAAACTATAGAGGGCGTGTACGACTTTCATGAAAGTTAGGAATTCACTTTTGGTCGATGATGGGGTACTTCTATTGTTTGCTGTAGAGTTCAGGAACTCTAGTTTGCTGTAACTCTAGTTTGCTGGACCAGACATAGGTTATTATCACATATAGGCCTGAAAAGTAAGTTTTTGTTTTTGTTTTTGTTTTGTTTGTTTGTTTGCTTTTTTTAATTTTTTTTTTTTAATTTTTTTTTTTTTTAATTTAATCAGCTGGATATTTTCGTTCAAAAAGGTAGCCAATATTTTTTTCTAGAATTGCACTAATAATTGACTGACATAGTATTTTCTGTCTGTAGTTGTCTTAAGTTTCAGTATGCATATGCATTTTATTTTTTATAACTAAATAGGCCTTCGCGATTTAGTTTAGGGGAAAACGAAACCTGTGGGCATAGTGGGCAGAAATCTCAAATTGTCAGCTTTAGTTACCGCGCGAATGACGTGCACGAGCGCGAACGTTAGCGAATAGCCTTGGATTAACTAGCCACAAGATAGCGCCGCAACGCGTTACTTTAGCACTAGTACATACATTCAAATTTTGATCTGTTGTACGGTTGACTTGGCAAGTTTTGAAAACTATACCTCCGCATCCAGGTCCTAATTACACTGCATAATAATAATATGATGGTCATTATACCGCCACAAGGAATTCGTGCATGCTTGTCAATCATCAAGCTTGACAATTAACTCCACAACTTGAAACATCCATGGAGTGCACTTGGCAAAAGTCTTACATTTGGAAACGATAACCGTGATAAAAATGTCAAATTCATTTTGATAAATCGCTTTTCTGATCATATATAAACACAATATTTGGATTGGGTGCCGATGAACGTGCCCAGTGTACACCCATCAATCTAAATTACCATAGCAACACGCTAATTTTTCGACTTTGCGAGATAACATCTTTGCTTCAGTGAATTGCCGAACATGGCAAGGGGGCTTGAATAGATGGGATGAAAATCCGTTAATAACCTGAAAGTCATATGGTAATAATTGAGAAGCGTTTAGACCAGCTACACATTTTAACACCTTTATAGATAATGGATAACTTTTGGTACGATCACTGAACTTTAAAGAAAACGTTGTACATTAATTCAGTTTCCACGTTCAATAGATTATTTGCAATTTTTTTTCTGATTGATTGATTGGTTGGTTGGTTGATTGATTATTAATTGATTGATTGATTGGTTAGTTGGTTGATTGATTGATTGATTGATTGACGGATCGGTGATTGATTAACGGGTCAATTGATTGATTGATTGATTGTTGATCGATCGATCGATTGATTGATTGATTGATTGATTGACAAATTTGTCCACTGAGCAAATTCTAATTACCTTTTCATCTTCGACAGAAATTGTTTTTATGTCAGCATTCTACTAACAGCATTGTCTTTTGTGCACGTATAGAAGCAAAGCGTGTTTCTATTAACCAACCACTGTAACAATTACCGGTTGTTATTATCCAGCTGATAAACCTAATCGCTTAAGCAGACTATAATATAAGATTTAAATTTCTCTGTACTCTAGAATAAGATAGTTGTATAATTGGTTTTATCATTGGTGGCTATAGGCTACAGATGATGATGTCCAATTAGTATTGATGAATTTGCTGTAGGCACTGGCTGCAGTATAAACAATAATAATAATGGATCATCGTTCCTTCGAGTTTCCATGGGGAATTTGAGAAACAGGTAGCAGAAGAAGCTCTAAAAAGAGATGATTGTTTTGTGGATTTGTGGTTGTTCTGTAGGTCTAATTATCCAGGGACGGCGCCAGGATTTGCGGGCGGGGGCGATGTCCCCGAAGAGCAAAGTGGGCGTGATTTTTTTAAGCGATGCAGGGATCAAGCCCCCGAAAAATATGAAAATTTATCATGGGTTTCAAAGCTTATTTCGTGATTTTAGAGTCTACTAATATGCAGAAAATACATTTAAATTATTTTTTCTCCCTGACTAATTGTGGTTCTTTTTCCCCGACGAAGGCCAGCTCTTCTCGACGAGGGGAGGGAGGGGGGGGGGGAAGACTCGGGCGCCATCCATGTCTAAATCTT